GGCTATAGAACCTGGTCTGTCCTGCTATTTACCCAGAACTGGAGGGAGAAGAGGATTAATACTTTTCCCAAGGGTATTTCCACGTAAGTGATTGTAATGGATTTGACTGGAATCCGAACTCAGCTCTCTTATTCCTCAATCTGAGCCACTATTCACTACTCCACCACGTTTTCTATAATTGTAGATACAACTGTAGTAATGCTATTGAACAATACTGGTGTTGGACACTTTCAAAGAACACTAGCACTAATAGCACCTGCTCAATTGTACTTATTTGAATAGTGATCTGAATAGAGAAATAGTATAGTGAATAGAGTAGAGAATAGCAGTCCATATAGTAAGAGAGGATAGACTAGAATTATAGAAATCCTTAGTCATCATCTACTTCCTAGATATATGCATTTCCTCCATGGTCACATGGTTTACTTACTTCAGTAATGGTATCACCTGTGTTTTTGCTCAATGGCAATCTATGTTCAAACTTAAGTGTTAGGAGTGACACTTTATTCCTATCTAACACTTTTGCTGTACGAGAGTTATTTCTCTTAAACTGACAATGATACATGGCAGTATCTTTGCTATGACAATGGCAGACTCTTCCAAAATGTTCATGAAGCCAGGAGGTGAAGAGATCAGCTTCATCAAAGAGCAGATAACTACAATTATAATTGGAAAAATTATTTCTGTTAAAGAGTTATCGTCCTTATAATGCTAGTTGGCAGTGTCTTTATGACAATGGTGGACTGTTACAAGATTTTTTCAAAGCCGGCAGGTGAAATAATCAACTTTAGATAAAAGCACTACAATAATAACCAGAAAAATACATTTCAAAAATTCACATGTCAAAACCTTGTAATAATAGTTAGGACTTTTAACAAAATATGCAATAATTTTTGATGAAACAAGTAAATGTGTCTATTTATATATTTAAAGAGGGGTACATCGAGGTAGTGTAATGGTTAGCAAGCTTGTCTCACTAGATCAATTACAGCTGAGTAGTGAGTTCGATCCTCACTGGGTGCTCCATACTGTCGACCTTGTGCCACATCTAAGTTACTTGGAAAATAACATATATTTAAAAAATATTAATGAAAAATTCTACTGGGTATAAATTGGGAGGTCAGTTTTCTGTTATCATTAATTGAAGAAACTGATATTTCCATGAATAAATATTAATATAAGATTTCATTGGACATAAAGTAGGGGATAGGTTTTCTCTCATTATTAAGTAATAAACCGTTATCTGTCAATGTTAAACTTTGAACATACTACTAGGAAAATATTTTCCTTTGGGAAAAATTATACCATTAATTTAAAGAATTTAATCCAATGCAGAATGTTTAGCTATTCAATAAAAAATGTTTTGTATTCTATCTGTGATTAGTTTATTTACTGCTAAACAAAAAACAAAGTTGAATACCCTCCTCCTCTTCTATGTGCCATATCTCTTCAGGATATCTGCAATCATGGCTCTCCACAATTTCCTATTCTTTGTAGAGTAGTAAATTTTCTATTTTTGCTATCTCTCATAATCCCTGTTCTGTCTACTATTTACACAAATTTATTAGGTTATGAGCTGTTTTTCTCGTTTGCCTTCAATATGTTCCTTGAGTGTCAATTTTTTTAAGATCGCTTTCCTCATTATTTTTCCTGGAAATTTCAACTTTCTCTTTCTGATGCTAAATATTAGTGTCTTTTTGTTTCCATTTTCTCTAAAAGCAGGTTCAGTCCATAATAAGTATGCTAATTCTATAATTTTTGGCAGGCAATGTTTGTAGTAATCTGCCTCTCTTCCAAACTTTGACAGAGGAACAAGAGTTATCATCACACATTTTTAGAGTTTTATATATATATATATATATATATATATATATATATATATATATATATATATAAATAAAAAAGACATGCCTCATTAATTTAGACAAGTTTTGTGTACTTATTTTTAATAGGATCCTCTCATAATTATGGACAAGTTTCTTACTATCTTTGTTAAAATAACAAAGAACATTACCATGTTGATGCATATTCATTTTATTCCAAGTACTAATGAACAGGACCCTGATGAAAACATTGTGCTAATGTCAAAAGTACTTGGAATAAAATGAATATCCATCAACATGTTAATTTTCATTCTTTCTATAACAAAGATATTAAGAAACTTGTCCATAATTATGAGAGGATCCTATCAAAAATAAGCAAACAAAATTTGTCTAAATTATTTAATGAGACATGTCTTAATGAAAACATACAGCCTATATATTATAAATTAATTGATTTAAAATGTTTTGTTTTTTTGCTACACAGTTCTAACCATGTTTCAAAAATGGAAGCTTCCATTTTTGAAACATGGTTAGAACTGTGTAGCGAAAAAACCATATTTTAAATCAATTAATTTATAATATTAATGCTCTGTAAATTTACATTGAGCACTATTTTGTAAAATTAAAAATATCTATAAGAACACTGGATTATATATCTTATTGTTCTTTCTTATATATATATATATATATATATATATATATATATATATGTAAAATCGTTTGA